AAAATATTAAAATTTGAAAAATTAAAATAAAAACATGTGTGTGTGGGGGGGAGGTGCAGGGTACAGTTCCAGTGGTTGTTTATATAATGGGGGGGGGGGCGAAAAAAAAATTCTGCCCCGGGCGCCCAGAACTCTGGTTACGCCACTGGTACTGGTATCACTTTAAAGTCAAGCTGCCTCTAAAAACACCCAAAATATATAGTCTAGAGCAGTGGTTCTCAACGTGTATAACCTCCGGACCCACATCTGTCCATGGTGATTAAGTCGTGACCCAATTTGCATTGCAATGAAATGCACGGAATGAGTGTACCGCGTGTTGCAGTCCGTGCGTACGAGCTGTGGGTGGTAGGTGCTCTTGGAGTACCATTTAAATGAATGGCTACCCAACACACCTCCCACACCAGAATGCATGGTAGGTGCGATTTGCATTGTACAGTGTGATTACCGCACCGTACTAGTGTGAACGGGCCCTCAAAAACACTGACAGACTCACATAACCACAGGCACAATCTCGCACACTCAGACATTCTCACACACACACATACACTCCAAAAAGTTTGATTTTTTTTTTTTAACCATCCCCCAGTCTCCCTACCTTAGGAGAACGGGAGTAGATCCTCAGCCTGGGGTCCAGTGTGGGCTGCTGTGCTGTGACGGAGCTCCATCCATGTGTGCATTGCCTGTACAGTGCTCTGTAGAGGTGCCGGGAGGCAGAATGTGACGTCACTCCGGTGCAGGCACCTCCACAGGACACGCGAGGGAGCTGTACTCAATGCATGGAGCTCCCTCGCGGCCATACTTCCAGCCCACCCCAAGCTGACACTCGGCACCGGGAAGCATATTTTCAATGGCTGCTCGGCGTGAGAACTGACAGCGCTGTGCTAGGGGGAGGCCGAGGAGCCTCTCAGCTAGAAATGAGGAAGGCATGCAGCGACCCACTGAACACAGGGTCACGACCCACTTTTGGGTCACGTCCCGCCAGTTGGGAACCAAGGATCTAAGATATATTATATAGTATAGTCATTTATTTTGG